TTATAAATTTATTGAACAATTATTTGAAAAATGCATGAATTAAAGTAACAGATCTATTTTGACTTATTAATACAGTCTTATATAATGGTACTAAGTAATTTGAATGTATAGTGAATTAGAATGATACATTATTTTGTTTTGAATATGAATTTGAACTATAGATTTTAAAATTTTTTGTGAATCATTTTGTTTAAAATAGATAAAATGGTAGTCGTACATGTTTGATGTAATTCTTTTTAAAAAGTGTTTATATGATATTTGGTATCTTCAATTCATTTTGAATTAAACTCACTTATACATTTAATATATTTGAAAATGAATAATATTAATTTAAATGGATAGTCTTAAAGGTTATGTTACCCTTAATAATTTAGAATATATATACATTTATATAGTTTTATATGTTAAATCTAGTTAGGGATTCAATTATAAAAAATTGGAAGATAAATTACTCGATTTTATTTATTTGTTAGTTTCGAGAGCTGGTTAAAAGATTAAAATGTTTCGTGGATCAAATAATTAGTTTAATCAAAATTAAATATAACATAATTATGAGTGTTTGAAATGAAGTTGAAACGAGTTTACATATATGCAAAAACAATGGATGCAATATAGGTACAAAAGTGTAAGAATCCAAAGGGTTTATTAATTGATTGACGTACACTAACTTCTGGTCCTATGTTTGGTCACAGGGACATGCTCCACCTGCTCAAATCACTAGACGGACTATTGCTATCTTTCTGCCACAAAACAAACTATACAATGCTTCTCTCTGTCACTGCACCATAGATACCCTTCCTGCACTATTCTTGTTTCTTCCACACATTGGAATGAACATACATATGAGTATGAATGTTTGGTGGAGGTCATAATACAAATACTTTTAAAACTAATGATATTTCACTTATACATTGTTTACTCTTATATATATATATATATATATACTTATGTTTGTATCTTTCTTAATCTCTTTTTCAGTTTTTTTTTCAACTAAAAAACATTTTATATTCACTTAATTTTTTTATATTTTTAATTTATCTACTTACGATAAGTTCAATAAATTCACGGGATCTAACTGACAAAACAGTTCGACAATATAATCTTACAACACAACTTGATATTATTCGGCAATATAGCTCAACAACACACCATTTCGTTAGAGTAATGATTCTTTGAAATACCTAAATTATTTACATTCATTTGACACTACTCTTACTTATTTTTACTCTTTTCTTTCTTGAAACAATACAAAAATTTACACTTTTATGACCATTTTACCATTGTAGTATGTGTCAAATGAATGTAAAAATGTGTCATGATACCATTACTCTTTTCATTATTGTTTTTCTTTCTTGTTATATATAAGTTCACATGGTAGTAGTATTATACAATATACACATATACCTTTTTAGTTTTTTTTTTAATGATATTCAAGTTTTTCATTTTCTCTTCTCTCTGCGTTTGTTTCTTTTTCTTTCATTTACCATGGTAATATGATACCTCATGATGATATTAGAGCTCTATTGCACTCATTATGTTTGTTTATTTTCTTCTTGCCTCATTTTTTATATTTCTTAATCCTTATTCTTTTATTTTTCTTTATCTTTTTGTCATGGTTATGGAACAAAAGTGAAGCTACTACACTGTTACTTGCATTTACATTTCAATGAAAATTCAATTATCTCTCGTTTATCCTATTCTTAATACAACTAGCTACCACTCTTGGAGTCGTTGATGATCATCGCACCAACATAGAATGAAGTTGAATTTATTTTTGGTATGCCAATCCAACCTGACAAAACATATTTTTTTTTCCTACTTGGTATCAATGTAATCACATGATGATTTTGTGGATCATTCGTTTCGTCTCACCTTCGATACGTGAAAACATTACATAGATGGACCAGGTTCTTGTATATGGAACGATCTTAAAAATAAATTTTTACAAGGAGATCTTATAAGAATTTCAGATCTTCAGGCAGAGGTTGCAACCCTTTCTTAAGATGATCTATTGATTACATATTACTTCACTCATTTATGGATTTTATGGGATGAGATTGATAATTTTTGCCCCGATCCTACGTGTGTATGCAAAAAATGTACATGTTTACACAATGAAAATGTGAAATTCAACTGTTAAGATGATCAAATGATCAATTCTTAAATAATATTTAAGTCTCATGTTCTGAAATCTATGTCATCCATTTCAAATATTTTTTCTCTAATTCTTTAATAAGAACATCAACTCATGATATGACACATCATATTTAATTGCTTCCTAATTTTTTTTTGTAAAATTGTTTCAATTAAGTTCTTTATAAAAGAAATTACAAAAGACATTAATAACATGTCACATGTCAATTCATGTTTTATTTTAACTTTTTTATAAATATTCTATTTTATTTTTTTTTGCAAAATTTTTTGTTATCTATGAGTCCCTGGTGTGATAGTGAGTGTTACTATATTACATTCATTTAACTCCTTTTATATATATATAT